ATTATTTATTGTGTTCCGGTATCTGTGACAAGGTTTCAAGAGTAGAGCATAGCATGAATTATATGGCTACCTATGCATCCAAACATTCTCAAATGATCATACCTGGCACAGCCGGATTGTGAACTATCGCACCAAGAGTAGAGATCGCACGTGGCTGTCGTCGTTCCCACCATGCGGTTACATGAGGCGCTATGAGCTGTCCCCTCCTTCAAGTATCACCCAAACCACTGCACTCCAACGTCAACGAATATTCTATCCAAGTGATTACATCCCGAAGAATAGGCATGTGATCAGAAAGTGGTCGCAAGCAAAGACACGGAATCTGCCATTTTCTTCATTCTGGAACATACCTATGCGCCAGCAACTAAAAGGAACATTCGAAGTACCAGAACTACCCTATAAGCTGTCCGAGTCTGAAAAATATGAAATGGAATGCACCGAGTCTGCAAAATGTGAAATGGAATGCTGCACCGAGACTGCAAAGTGTGAAATGGAATTCACCGAGACTGCAAAATGTCAGATGGAATCGATCAAATGATTGAACAGTCATGGCCACTTCACTGTACCGGTATTGCATCTATTGCAGTGAATCAAAATAATGTGTCCCGGTGGCAGTCAAGAGTAAGGCGAAACAATAGAATGCAAAAGCTATTTAATATATCAATAGTTATCTGATCGCAGAGTCATGAAGATGCTTGCAGTGACTCGAACCACTCTACAATATCCTGCTTCCCATTGACCTTGGCTGCCTCCAGTGGCGTTTGTCCCAAGTTTGTTTTTTGTGCGAGGATGTATCCAATAGATTTGGGATCGGGTTTGGAAGTTTGGATCTTCACTAGAAGTTTGGTAAACTCCAGGTTTCCGGAACGGGCCGCAAAATGAATCGGTGTCATTTCCTGCGGCCCCACAATCGGAGTAGGATCCAATCGGAAAGTCTCCCACCAGACGTTGGCTAGCTCTAGATAGTTGCGACGGGACATTTCCAACCATAGTGCACTGGCAGACGAAGTATCCATGACGCACGGTCGCAAAAGGGCGACGCCTTGAATCCATTCTTGTAATAAGGCGTCTCGTAAATGTTTGCCAATGGATTTGTATCGATCCACGATGGCCTTGCACAGTTGACCCACTAGCTCGTCAATGGGACCTTTCGGTTCCAAATACAATTTGTATGCCTTGCCAGCACATGTGTATTCGTGTTTTATAAAGGCTTCAAGTGCTTGCAAAGAGAACATGTCGAGATCTTCACATTGCATCCACCTTTCCAAAAGTTCCTTCATAGGAGATTGTTTGCTAGGTAAGATTTGGATATCCTGTTCCTCGTTGGTTCTTGAATCAATAACCGAGGCCAGTTCTGTTAGCTTTAGCTCCAACTCGTCGATTGTGCACTTCTTTTTAATACCTTCTATAAGGGAGTGTTCAATTTGGGGAAGTTGATAGTAGAAGGCGCTCGCTGGTAAATTGGCTGTGGACGATAGCATGGCCCGTAGTTGATCTGCATCGGGATCCGAGTCTTGGACATAGTCCAATGCTAATTTGTCATTTTGATCCCTGGAATCCAAGTTCGCACCTGCCTTTACCAAAAGATCCACCACTTGAACTCGTCTCCCAGTTTTCAACGCTCGATTGGATTGACAAGTCGCATGCAAGGGAGTCGCCGATGTAATCTTGTTGCGGGCATGCACATTGGCTCCATACTTCAATAAGATGGCTACACAATCCACATGCGCCCACAAACAGGCAACGTGCAAGGCAGATTGATCGACGGCATTGGCGTGATTGGCACTGATGCCTTCGCCGCCCAATTCTTTTGGCGTAAGTAATAAAGCTACCAATTGGGCATTGTTCTTTTGACAGGCAATCAGTAGTTTGTCCCATTCCGGTGGTCTGTAGGTAACACCGTACTTGTTCTGAAACTCATGCATACTCTGCTGAGTTGTGGATTGTCGATAGAGGACAGAGCCTGGGGTGTTGCTCATGTTGATTTTCTTATTTGAAGCCTATTATATTTGCCGTACAGTATAGATGCGTGTTTCAATTCGATGAGATGAAATACCTAGAGCAATAACAGCCTCGTCCGATGACTCCAATATGAATATGAAAATAACTCTTACTTTCTGTCTAGTGCTTTTCGTCGTATGAGACCTTTCTCATTCGTAACCTTCTACCGGTACATCGATTGATTGAATCAATAATCTGAAATCACAGCGCGTTTTTTCATTCATCATACTTTTTTTCTTCGTTTGATGCGTCCTGCCTTCGTCCGATAGTTGTGATCTTTCAGTCAATACGTCTTGCCTTCGTCCGGTAATTGTGATCCTGTACCAAGAGGTTCTGTGGTAAATTTTTTTGTTTCAGTCTGACCAACCAACCGTATTTCACCACAGTTTTTACCGCAAACCCTACAGTATATACTCTTGATCCTACTGTAGTTAAAAAAAGGTAAAATGAATGAATCGATAAATAAGATTGCAATGGAGGATGTACCGGTACATCGATTAAACTACAGTAATACAATCGCCTACCGATACAATCGCTCCTTCTCCATCATTTATTCGCATCGAAATCCAAGTTGAAATTACAGTACAATACTGTTTTGCGAGTCAGGTTGGGATCCTGCCTCCAATGATGTCTTTTCAAGCGACCTTATTCGAAAACCTTACAGACTAGGGAAAAAATGATGCAAATCACTTGGCCGTATACAAATGAATCTATCGTCCTCTATATTGAAAATTTAGTTTGGCTGGATGTTGTAGTAGTTGCTAGTGGTATTGGGATCGTCACCATGCTCAAGCCGCGGCCGCCACTGGCATGGTAGCCATGAGACTCCCGAGAAAACCTTGGATGTGCCGTAGTTCCGAGATGCAGCTTTCATCCACCAGGATCATGTAGATATGAACCAGGTGTCCTAAGCATGCCTTCCATGTGTCCTTGTTCCCGATCTGTAGATCGATCAATGCAGCATTGTTATATATAACAAAGTGAAATAAGGGATTCTGCACAATATCTTGTGAATGGTACACCAGGGTGTACAGTTGCATTGCTCTATCAAGATACTGTGGTGACCTTTCATCCTTTCTCATCGCCACCAAATGATGAGCAAGCGCCGCGTTGAAAATGAGTATGGGTGTAATAATGCCGCGATCGGTCACATTGGAAGGGAGCGGAATGGCATGGTTGTACATAAATGCATGAGTTCCACATTGATCATCACCTTCAGGAATGCTGGTAAGAAGCATGCACTGATCGAATGAAAATTCAGGTGAGGAGGAGGAGGAGATTTGGTGAAGAAGGTCATCATCGTCTTGTTGTGGCATCATCATTGGGATACTACCGAGGCACTCCAATGCCGACGAAGATGACACAATCGCGTTGTCGTACTCCCTAGCTTCGAGGAAAGCAATCGTTTGCTGGTTCTGATTGATGACAGTTTGAAGGGACATTGTCTCTGAAAATATGTTCAGAAAATATTGGCTCTTGATTTCTTTGTGAGAACTTTACCCGTCAGTTTTCCCTATGTTTTGCATTTACCCGTCAGCTGTATTGCTTCTGCTTGTCGGATATTTTGCTATTTAGCAAATATGGGTACATTAGGTGAATCTTTTGCCGTCAGTTTTCCAGATGTTTTGCCTTTACCCGTCAGCTGTATTGCTTCTGCTTGTCGGATATTTTGCTATTTAGCAATCTTGGGTAAAGGTAAAATTCGACTTTTCGATAATTATTCATCCCGAATTGAACACGTGTCCTCGGGATGAACGTCAGAATCATTGCTTCGACTCTGCCAAGCACACTAAGCTCCCAGGACCGGTGCCAGGTGAACCTTTCATTCTGCTCGACTCAAACGCTCGTTCCACGATTCCTGATTTTCGTTCTACTTTGCGCTCATCTATTCTTTTTTTTAAACGGTCCGTCCGCCGCTCAACAGGACATCTGTAGGTGGAAGACTGATGATCCAAAACCCCATGCAGACCTAAAATCAAAATTTCCCCCTTACAAATGTCTTAGCTTAGGTCCTTGGCTTTCATCCTATTGGGTGAGCACCTCTCTGTTATGCTCTAGTGAGTCGCTTTAGCACAATGTTATCAGCTCCTTTTGATTGCTATCCAAAGGATTTATTGACATTTTGCGCTACAGCAGCTCTCTAGAGCATAGCAGAGAGGTGCTCACCCAATGGGATGAAAGCTAAGGACCCAAACAGAAAATTTTGATTGTCGGTCTGTATGGGGTTAAAAATCTTGGATCAGCAGTCTTCCGACAAATGAGTATGAAAATGATCTGTTGAGCGGCGGACGGACCGTTAAAAAGAGACCGTTTTGGAGAAAAAGTTGCAGACCGTTTCAGGGGAGATTTGCGGGTAGTTATATTGATTATGGGGGGGGGAGAAACATATGTACCAAGCCTGAAGTATGTAGAATACTGTATGCTACACAAATGATGGGATTTAAATAGTTGTTATTATTGTGAAACCAGTATTCCCGCGGGTCACATTTTCACGAAATTTCCAACCAATAACAGCATGATGGCATTCAAACCGTGTTCGAAATGTCTACAATCCTCAAAACAATCACAGCAACAATTAACCTTTTATAGTTATCAATATAGCTCACCCTAATGGCAGCGACGATCCACTGTCAAAGGCATTCAAGCATACTGGTTATGGAAAAGGAACGCCCTTGCTTCACTCGACTTTTGTGCTGCACTATCAACACGATAGTGAAAAGGAGCCACTGCATGTGTTTGACAAGGATGTAAGGAAGCAAAGTGATTTTTGTCTCATCTGCAGTGATGCGTTCGAACATCAAACACCGCAATTTCCTCTTTCTCAAAGGAAATGTGTTTAGACTTCTTGGATAGTATTCTGGAACAGTGCGCACCGTCTTGGGAGGGATTGGTAACTTTCAGCAACGCAAAGCAAGACAGGCAATCCCACTTATCAAGGCCAGGAGAAGGGCCAACTTTGAAGGGCACCCGCTCAAAGAATCAACAAAACAGGGTCAAGCCAAGATGCGAGAAAAAACAAGGCGCAATGATGCTGGACTATATCTATGTGATGAAAAGTGTCCCGACACAGGGCGTTACTGTCAAAAGGTGTGTTTGATAGAGGATGGGTTGAAGGGCCATACAAAAAACAAGTTTCCCAGCGTAAACGCCAGAGATTGGCTGCTTATGAACGCAGGGAAAGTTGGTGGCACCTTTGAGCTTGGAAGCAGGCCCAGCCAATCGACGTTCTAACGATCTGTTTGGACTTGCCATGTGTGACGGCTGCTCGATGTTACCAATGTTTCAATCAATCTGATGTGAATGAGCCAAACTCCAAGACAGATGCCCAGGTTTGTTTTCTGCTGAAATGTTTTGGCCCTGAAACAAAACTGAATCAAAGTCAGACAAGGCAGAAGATGATGCAGGTGATCGATCCTGTGGACAATGGGCTCAAATTTTTCTCAGCCAAGGCTCACTTACAATCAAATGGAGGTCTTCTGAGCAAGGTGCAGATTGCTTTGTGGCAAAGCCAAGAAGTGAGCAAACAAGAGAAGAGGAAGAAGCCAAGTGGTGAAGCTAGGAAAAAGTCGCTTGAAACTCATCTGGAGAAATTCATGAAGTTTTCCCAATTAAATCTTACGAATTACTAGGAGACTTACAAGAAAGCTAAGGGCGAAATTATCAGCAGCATGCTCTATCTGCTTGATATTCCTGTATCAAGCTTGAATAGAGTGGCGGCAAAGAGAGCAAAGTTGATTGAGTTGAATTTGGAGAAAACTCGCATTGATGCCATTATGTCAGAAGTTTCAGATCGCATCAAGATGTTCACTGTAAGTATTGCAGCGTCTTGGGGAAACAACCTGCATGCAGAGGCTTGAGCTGTAAGAGAAGAGGAAGAGTTTGCCCAAATCCAGGAACTTGAAGCATTTTGTTGAAACAAAAAGTCACAGTTTAGAAAGTGGCTTAATTTTTATTGTTATTTAGTTTTTCTTGAAAAATTATGGTTTCAGTAGGTTGTTGCCATTGCACAGAAGCTAGATCAACCTTTTCAATAAAAAATGTAGATGTTGTTACGTTGTTATGGACGTTATCATCATTGTGACTTTTGGTGTGCGTGTCCCCAAAATGTGACTTTTTGTGTGGAAAACAGTCTCTTAAATGACAACATGCGCAATGTCTCTTCATCCAGTTTGTCTTTCTTCTATCATACCATCTACGCTACTGACACGGGATCCTCTAGAGGTTTCTGGCTTGACTCTATCTCTAAAGTTTCATTCTACTTGGGGCTCATTTCTTGATCGGTTGGCCAGACTGAGAATTGATCACATCCTTTTCTTTTGATCGACAATGGAAGACAGGCTTGAGGCTTGAGAGCTTCCCCCTGTTGTCTCAATTCCGTTGAGTCGAGTCGGCTGGATGCGCCACTTTGGTGAAGTATGGTTGGTGGACGGACACCACAAACAAAAGTTATGGAATTCTGGTTCTATGATGGTGAATTTTTTTGTTTCAGTCTGACCAACCAACCGTATTTCACCACAGTTTTCACCGCAAACCCTGCAACAGAGGGAGGTTCTGCTGAAGCTAAAAATGTACTTTCTGTCTCCACAATTTCACCAACAGTGATTTCACCATTGAAAAAGTGACATGCGTGCGCACCCTTGTTAGAATAAAGCAAAATGTGCTCTATTGTGAGTGTTTAGCGCTCAGAACAAACTCTCTGCTATCTAAATTTGTAATTGACTGTACAACACTTTCACAACAATAGTTCTCCTATGTTAGGTATAGTACTTTGAGTGAAATTGTTCCTGATTAATGTTTGGCTTAAATTGATGATTCAATCACAAAAGTGAGTTCAACAATTTTTCCTTGGAAAATCCCTTGTTTACAGAACTGGATTCGACTTCTTCGAGGATTCTGTGTTGAATACAGTACTTTGGGACATCTTCATCTGAAACAGTAGGTATGACCTTTTTAGGAAGAAATTGCCCAAAATTCCCCATGGTCTGCCCTTTTTGCGGCATGCCTTGTCTTTCCCAAAAGTCCCTTGTCCTTTTTTTCACAAGGAGCCCCCTTTTTTTGCCCCAAAGGACTTTTTCACAAGGAGCCCCCTTTTTTTGACACTCCTTTGGGGCAAATGACACACAAGAGTCATTATGACAACCATGAGACATTGGTTGTCAGGTCCTTTTCTTCCAAAAGGTCATCGTTGTCCTGCAC